AGCATACACATGTGAGTTAGGGAAGGACAAAGGGTGGGGGGAGGGAGAATCTCAGGGAGAGCCTGATGCAGGGCTTGAATTCAAGAACCATGAGATCATGACCTGAGCCAAATTCAAAAGCCAAATGCATAAACAACTGAGCCACCCAGGCACCCCAAGTTTATAATTTTCATAACTTCCTGAAACTTGACCTATCATTTTGAAATATCCCTCTTTATCCATAGTCAGTTTTTTGTTTTTTTTTTTTTTAACTTGAGAGATAGAGAGCACCAGCAGGAGAGAGGGGCAGAGAGAAAGAGAGAGAGGGAGAGAGGATCTTAGCACAGAGGGACTCTCCAGAGAGTAGAGTTCAATGTGGGACTCACTCCCATGACCTTGGGATCATGATCTGAGCCAAAATCAAGAGTCAGACACTCAACTGACTAAGCCACCCAGCCGCCCCTAAGGCACAGGTTGGGGTTTTTTGTTTTTTGGGGTTTTTTTTTTAGATTTTTATTTTTAAGTATTCTCTACACTCAGTGTGAGGCTCAAACTCGAAACCTGGAGATCAAGAATCACAGGCTTTACTGAATGAGCTAGGCTAGGCTGCCATTCTACAGTCACAGTTTTTGTTACAGTTTCCTTTAATATTACTACAGCTACTTCAGCTTTCTTCTGGTTACTGTTTTCATAGTTTATTTTCCCCCACTACTCTACACTTAACACTTTGTATCTTTGAATATGAGATAGTGTCTTTTGTAGATAGCATAAAGTTGGATCATTTTATGTCTGTTTTTTTCTATTCTGTCAATCTCTGGAATGTTTTATTCACTTACATTAATTTAATTATTGAAAAGGAATAATTTGTATTTGTCAGTTTGCTATTGGTTTCTGTATATATCAAGTCTATTTCTGTATATGTCAAGTCTATTCCTCCACTGCTGCTTTATTTTATATTAAATACTTTCTAGTATACAACTTTAATGCTCTTGCTTGCTTTTTTATTTCACAATAGTTTTTTGAGTTATTTTCTTAGTTGTTGCCCTGAGAGTTACAATTAGCAACACAAACAATGTTTGGATTAATGACAATTTAATTTCAATAGTGTATAAAAACTTTGGTCCAATCTAGCTTCATTCCCTTATCCTTCCTTTGAATTACATTTTTACATTATTAGCTAAATCTATACTATTTTATAATTATTGCTTTATGTTATTGTCTTTAAGTAGGAGAAAAAAGTATTACAAATAAAAATATTTATACTCTCTTTTATATTTACCTATGCGGTTACTTGTATTAGTGTTCTTTATTTCGCCATGTGGACTTGAGTTATTAACTTTTGATTCTGTCTCTCAATTACAATTTGCTGTCTATTTTCTCATACTAGACTGAGCTGTCATGACCTAATATTAATTATTTTAAGTTTACTTAGAAGAATGTTGAAGAATAAAGAGCAATAGAAAAGACTGTGATAAAAATTGGAACAGGAAAAGTTTTTCAAAGCTATAGTCTTTGGTAATTTGAAACTTAGTCCAAACTCAAATATCAATCATGATTTATCCCCAGTTCCTCCAACAGTACCAATAATACAGTGGGTGCTTAAAAAATATTTTTAGAATGAGTTAACATGAGTTCACATGATTAGAAATTAAGGGTTGAATTATCATGGTCTATAACTAGAAAGGACATTGACAGAGTCACATAAACTAAGATTAAGCGGGTTTTAGAACAGTCTTAGAGAAGAGTCTGTAGAATTTTCAGACTGAATGAATTTCCTGAGTCACATTATACAAAAAGAATTTAAGTCATGATTATAGCGAAGCATTAGTTAATTCATTTAACAAAGCTTAAAAATTCTTGAGAAAGTCAGACAAGGTCACATGCTTTACTCACTAACAATCTTACACTTACAAATTCCAAAGTATGTAACAGATTTCACACATCTGTAATGCTAAGCAAATAGGATAGGCCTCCATTGGATGGCCCACTTGACATAGCCTATGGTACACATAATGCCTTGGAACGCAGTTTATAGACATTAACAGTTGGAAATTCAGTTGCTCAAGCAGAAGTCTACGTAATCACACATTTGGGATTAATTTACTTTATTGTGCCTGCTAAAGTGAGCTCAGCTAAACTTGTCATTTTCCATCCCAATCTGTTTTGTAAATGTTTTTAGTTTCACAGCCTAAGCATTTTACTGCAAATCTCCTAGATTATGTGGTCTGTGCTAACCAGAACAATTCATCAAAAAAATGTGGGTTATTTCTAAACCTGCAACACAATTTTGAATTTACTTTAGAGTTTGAGAAATGAAGAGCTATAAGCTTAAATAATGGAGAAATAAACTGGTTGGACTTTGGTAGTTACTATTCAAGATTTTTCGGATTACTTTCTTAGTGCAAGATACCACACTAAGTGTTGGGAATTCAATGATGAACAATACAGATTTAGGTGCTCCCTAAAGTTATGTCAATCTGGAAATCAATGAATAAGCCAATATAATCATCTACTATATGTAATTCACAGTTACTAGAACAAATATGGAAGTAGGGAATGCTCTTAACAGTGAATATTCCTAGTCAAAAATCTCAATCAAAATCTAAAATATCTTTACTCTTACAAACTCAAAAGCTTTTTCTGTTCCAAGAAAATATTCAAATTCCAATTTTTCTATGAATTGTTCTCTGAGTAACTTGGCAATGGATTCCCCAATGTTCAATTCTATCTAAATATTCCCAGAACTTTCTATTATTTTTCTACTCACTTTTTTTCTTGTAAAGTATTTATTGAGCAACTATATGTTCCATGTATATACAAATTGGAGGGATACAAGATAAAGGCTAGAGTATACCATCTTCATCTGTAGAATAGAGCATACAGACAAATAAAAAAGTCAGTTTAATGTTATTTAAAGCACTGTGAAAGAGACCTATTTAAGAAAGTTGTCATACACAGATTCAACAGATACTTGTTATCTTAGATATATAAGCAGATTTAGTTGAAAGGATGAATAGTATATACTGTTAAAGTATTTTAATTGTTGAGCACTTTCTATGCTCTGGGCACTTTAATTAATTCATCAAATAAGTGTAACAACTCTTATGAGGTAGATGCTATGCAACTCCACTCTAAAGATAATCAGAGGCAGAGAAATGTAAGAAACTGACTAAATTCATGCATCTATTAAGCTGCAGAGTCAGGATTCAAACTCATGCAGTCTCAACCCTGAGCCTGTGTTTTTGACTTCTCTGTAATATATCATTTCCAATTATTCACTCTTCAGCTTGTAAGAAGATTCCCATTGCCCATTCATTTGCAGTACTTTCTGTGAGAGTAGGATACTTCCCTTCTCCACAGTCGAGCTGAATCACAAGATTTGTTTTGGCCTATGAAATATGAAGAGACTTAACAGATGCCAGTTCAAAGCAAAGATTTAAGACACAGTATATCTTTCTTCCAGATTCCCTGCCCTTTCCCTCAGTTCCAGAATGGCAAGTCCCAGGAAGTGCTGTTCCTTTAGACTGAGTTCCAAAATGAGACAAGGAGAACACAGCCACAGCCCATTCTCAATATTGACATAGAAGAGCCGTGAGAAAAACTGTTGCTGCAAAGCCACATACTTTAAGTCCTTTTTTTCCCAGCAGAATAGCTTAGCAAAAAATGACTAGTATAATAATAGTTACCAAGAAGTGGGGACCAAGTAACAAACACCCTAAAATGTGTGATACCATGGCCATGTGGAAAGCGCTGAGGAAACTATTACTGGGACCTAGAATACAGCACTCATGTTCTACAGGGGTACATATTTGTTACTTAGTTGAAAAGGTTAGAGGTCAGAATGATGATAGGTATTCATACTAGCTACATTTTTAATATTATAAAAGAAATTCTTTATACAAATAGAGGAAAAGAAAAAAGTTGGAATTTTAAGATAGATGGTTAAAAAATGCAACCATTACTGATATTCAACCAGTAAAAGATATCTTGAAAAACTTGCTTTGACTAACAAAATTTGAAGGAGACCCAAATTAAGATTCACTTTCAAAAACCAAAGGAAAGCTTTGTGGAATCCTTTTAATGCACTAAGGTGGCCCAGTACATGGATTCTACAAGCCTGATAAACTCTAAGTACTGGCAAGAAGTTTAGAGAAAGAGAGAGATACATCTCCAAGAGGTGTGGCATTTTAGGGTAAAGTATATAAGAGTATGAGCTATATCCTTAGTCTAAACTTTTATAAACCTTTACATGTATTTGTTGTTGATTTACTTTGAATCATCAAGGTTCACCTTAAATGTTTTCTGCTCTGAATTAGATACCCCTCCACCAGGCCTTCCTCTGATCCTCTGGCTTATGTTTATGAAGATGATTTTCACTGTGCATCTGACTCTTTCCCTCCTCTAGTCGATGAATTCATCAGTGATGCGGACAGGGGCTTTCAGCTTTTTATCAGCTATGCGTGCAAAAGAAATATGATACGATAAATGCTTGATAAATGAGCAACAAAGAATGAATATACTCACGGACAGAGCAAAATTACTTAACAAATTACAATACTCACAAATCAGCATTATAAACAATTTCTAAAATTCTAAATTCTGTCTGATTCTCTAATGTACTAAAGAAAAATAAGATCTTTGAAGTTGGAGATTTAACCCATATAATAAAAGCGTACTACATATATCTCATAAAAATGACAATATTGTTTACATAAAATTTCAGGAAACTTTAAAGAATTTTTGTTATTTACTTGACAAAGTAAAATTTATGAGTCCCAGACAAAAATCAAATCATTTCATCACGGAGCTTTAAAATTTAAAGTCAGTAAGGCAGTTCATAAAACACATTCCTTAAATATCACCCTAAAAATTGCCTAGGCATATTTCCATGGTTAGGGTCTCATTCTTTTAGAAGAATATAGTCTTTTGCTAGGCATATTATGTTGGTTCAATATACTCTTAGCTTTTATTTTTAAGCACATCCTAAAGAAAACATAAAGAAATTATTTGAAATCACATACCTGTCGACACCAGAGTTTACGAAATATTTGCAGATAGGCCAACACCATAAGGCACAGTGGGGCCATGTAAGTCACCAGGAAAAAACAGATGTGATACATCTTGGGGTAAATTTCACCTGAAATGAAAGCCAAAATAATAAACTCTGGTTTCATAATTCACAGACTTTTTAAAAGGTATTTCTGTCAATGTTCTGCCTTCAAAGTGTACATTTAACTTCAATATGACTTCACTGATATGATACACACACACACACACACACACACACACACACACACACTCTAAATGTGAAGTCTTAATTTCACTTAATGTACTCAGAGAGGAATAACAATTAGCCATTTCTTAATTTGTGTTAACATAGGCTATCCAAAGTCAAGTGTTCATTTATCAAGAAGAACTTTTTTGGCTGATTATATCTAGCCTAATTAATAAAAATTAGCTTGGAATATGCTATAATTAAATTTGTAATAAGAAACAAGACAATTTAAATCTAATTGCTAATGCTTTTGGGAAAAGAGTGTAAACTCAGTTGATTCCTCCTCATTAGAATATGTTTCTTGAGAAATGGGAAGCTATTCCCAGTTGTACCCCCCAGTGTGGAAAATTTTTGGAAAAATAAACACAGCAAACATTTAATGATTCTTTTTGTTGATTGTCAGAACTATATAAAATTTCTCTCTCAGTATGTTGTTTGTATGTATATGTATGTATGCAATGTATTGATGAAAATAATATTTTTGGGTTTTATTAATTTTTAAACAAGTATTTTTTATATATTCATCTCATTTATTTAGTCATAAGCACTTCTAATATTGTAGCAATTTCTTGCCATTAAGTCTATGTATACAGGTGATACATATCATAGATTAGGCATTTATTGAAGAGTCAATTATTCAATTAATAACATTGTGGTTTAATATAATTTTTTGCTTTCCTAAATATATTTATTACTGACTTTTAATTGTTTTTTTTAAAGATTTGATTTTTAAGTAATCTCTACATCCAACATGGGATTCAAATTCACAACCCTGAGATCAAGAGTCACACGCTGTACTGACTGAGCCAGCCAGGAGTCTCTACTGACTTTTTAAATTCTTTCAAGGATATTTTTTCCCATACTTGTATTTGAATATGTGACAAGTGATCCAGTTACTTTTACTTAAGCAGCTTAATTTGACTGTGATATTGGCAGTGAGGTTAGTTCCATACTATTATTGAGGGATAATCCTATCACCTTCATGCATTTGTTTTTTTCATTGCTTCAGAAAGGGCATGTAGAAGCATGAAGACTCAGTTATGTTATCAAATGTGGTAAGAACAATTTACAGTCAGGATTGACCAATAGTAACTATGAAGATGAACACAAAGATTGATAATATGTTTTGAACAATCATTCATATAATTGTTACTGAATATATTTTAAATATATCTATGAGCTGAATATTCTCCACAGTCTTGAGTCCATAGCCTTTTCTTCTAGAGACGGTTGAGCTTAATATTGTCCTTATTTTTCCTTCTAAAACTTCATCTTCTTTCTCATGTAGATGTTTTTCTTGACTGTAATCTTCAGAGGGGACAGCAGGGTACCCATGTTTCTGATATAGAGCAATCAACGGAACTGATGTGGGGTGTCATTTTTAGCTCTTCTGTGGCCCAACTGGCTCACACCTAGCTCATCTGTTTCTAACTTGCTTTTAAGTTTATCCCATAAACCATGCCAGTTACATAAAAAGTGATAGAATCTGAGCGGTGACTGGAAGAATAACAGTCTTTCCCTTTGAAGTGCTACAGCCAGAGCAGTATTTGGTAAGCCAATTTCAGGGGACTAGAGGATGACCTGGACACTTCCCAGGCACCTGAATGCCTTTGAACTTTTATTTGTTTTGAAGGTGTCACATGAGCTCCCACATAAAAAATACACCTTTGAAGCTGACATACGTGTAAAGCCTTGAGGTCTACCTCAGACAAAACTGAGTGAAGAAGGGTAGATTTGAGAGGCAATATTTTTCTTTTTTAATTGCAGCTATGGATACCATCACCACGATAACAATTTGGGTTTTAAACAGATAGGAGAGAAAGCTCATTCTGTGGTCAGTATATTTATAAATAGTTTGTAAAATATGTAATTGGGTGGTAAATGCATATTATGATAATGAACACCCACACAGAGAAAAGTTGATCAAGTGAAATTACAGTTGCAGGCTGGGATTGATTGTTTTAAAAAAAGAGATTATTAAAGATAATTGGGGAAACATGATAGTCTTAACACTCTTCATTCCATGCTTACAGTCTAAGCTAATTGAAAACCTAGAAATGCCAGTGGAATTTTAAGTTGAATGTGTTGAAACTTTTCCTAAACTCTCTCTGCACTTGATGAACAATGTCTTCTATATATTCAAGACATTTATATATAAACTAGAATATAGTTACATGAAATTTGTTGTGCTTAAGCAGACATATTATAAAACAGGATCTTAAAGATTGACAAGCATTCAAGATTGGTTTCTACTTAAATAATAAATAGGCACAATCTGAATAAATTCTTCCACATATACCAAACCAATAATTAAGGAGAAAATGTGGATCTTTATTTAGGCTTCAAAATCAGAGACTAAAGAATAATGTCCTATGTTAACAAGGCAAGACTTAATCTCAGTGAGTTAAAGTGCATTACTGAGCCAACATGTTAATCTAATTATCCATAACCTACAAACACTTTGTCCTTCAGGTTACACCTATCAGGGACTCAATGAGACAACTGACTGAGCCACCCAGGTGCCCCCATAATTAATATAACTCTTAAATTAGTAAATAATTATGTCAGTGATCATTTATCAGTTTAACATTTTATGAATATAATCAGCAAATTTAGATAATTTGATTTAAAGAGCATAAGTCTACATACTCAACTCCAGTCAGGATTCTAGGCAGGACACAGTTGTAAAATGAAAATTCCCAGTTCCTGAAGCCCATTACATAATTTGGCACTTGAAGCAATATAACATTGCACTATCTTGTAAAATGTTAATCATTCTGTATTATATACTTGGATTACATAAATGAGTCGTTGCTATAGACAATTTAAGAAAAGCTGGCATAATGAAATCTGAATTTTAGGAAAAGCTCTCCCATTCATTCTCCACCTGAAAACTGAAAACTAGACAACCGTATATAGTGATTTCCTTAGGACAGAGGTAGGTGGAGCTATTCTGTGAAACTGTTTTGGGTTTCAACCGGGTTTTCATGCTTTTGCAAAACTGTATTAACAGATGCCAATAAAGCATACAAGGCCAGCTTTACAATAGGTATGCAAAACAAAATTTTAGTTTGCAGCTGTAATATAAATGTCCGCTTGTGGCTCATAATGTACTTACCTCCCCAGCGCTCATCACACACTGTAAATAGAGTGGTTTTATTGGCTAAGCCAGGGAGCATGGTGCTGCATTCCATGACTATGGCCTGAGGAATCATTATAATGCAGGAGACAATCCAGATGATGACAATGCTGTTCCTGGCCCTCTTGGCTGTGCTCTTAAACATCAAAGGGTGACAGATTGCATACCATCGATCCAAGGCAATGCAGCTCAGTGTAAGAACAGACACAGACACCGACACGGTCTAGAGAGAGAAAGAACACAGGATAAGAGAAGCACTAGGTATTAAATAGATCCACTCTTTTTTTTTTTTAATGTTTTATTTATTTCCAGGAGAGAGAGAGAGAGACAGCGTGAGCAGGGGAGGGTCAGAGAGAGAGGGAGTCACAGACTCCGAAACAGGCTCCAGGCTCTGAGCTGGCAGTCAGCACATAGCCCGATGCGGGGCTCGAACGCACGAACCACGAGTTCATGAGCTAAGCGAAAGTCGGACGCTTAACCGACTAAGCCACCCAGGCGCCCCTAAATGGATCCACTCTTAATATACTTCCCATATTAGAAAGGGTCACACGGATAATCAGACTCAAAATGGTGAGAAAATATTTCATGCAAATTTTTCCCCTAAAATGCATAATAATAATATTAAAAAGGTATTAGGGAAAAATATGTTTCTTGTGAAACATGAAAAAGATGTTATGAAAACACTGCAACCATTTTCTGCCAAATGTTTTAATTTGTAATATGGCACTCTTTGAATACTGTCATCATTTTATCTTGCAACTTTGCATTGACAGGGGAAAAAAAACCTTCCAAAAGAAAAAAATATAGAACATGTATGTTTAGTTTGAACTAGAAAACTCTCACTTATAGAGATAATGCGACATGTTTAGCTTTTAAAATATATAGAAATTTGATTGCAATTGCATTTAGCTAGGATTTTTTTAAAAAAATTATGGATATTGCAGTCCGTATTTTCAAATAACAAAGCCTATTTGTGCATCAGTTAATTTCTAGCGTGTAACTCAAGGCAAGAGTTATGTTAGAAGAGAATCCTGCGTGGGTCTCCTCACCATAGTTTGCTTATTGCTGGTGTTAGCAACTTGCCTTTCAAACTCAAATAGGTTCACCTAGTCCACATTTCCATATAATTAACACTGCCACAAGTGATACTTTAACTTGGAACTTAAAGGAAGTAGTAAAGATATGTGTTAAGCATGCCTATACCCACATGATCAGTTTGTGTAATTATATGTAATGTATGCTCCTATACTGGATGAATCATTCATTCTGGTATCAGTCTCAAAACCCCATCATTAGAAAGAAACTTCATTCCCTTTTCTGTTATTTTTTGTTACAGACTTCTATTTATTTTCTTCTCAGTACTTATGGTAAGTACCATGTGATATAGTACAATTATTTTGTTCAACTAATTTATTTATTGTCTTTCTTCTCTATTAGAACAAAGTTCTGTGGCAGGAGGGACTGCTATTAATTTATTTGTTCCTTTATTTTCACAACTGTGTCTTGTACCTGGCACAGTATTTGAAGTGCTTTAATAAAAATTTTTTTTGAATTAAGGAACAATGATAAGACTCAATCTAAGGTAATAGATGTGATCCAGTCCTCTCTCTACTTTTCCTGTCCTGGTTTTATTGATCCCACCATATGTGGAAGGGCAGACATGTCTGTTTCCTCCCTCAGGACCTTCTCTGTTGATGCATTGACTATAGGTTCATATGACAGAAAGGGATCAAAGAGCCTGTGCAGCACAAGAGAAAAGTCTCTGGACTAAGAGTCAGGACGACCTATTTTTACTCTCCCACCAGCTCATTGTGCAATGTTGGGTCATCTTGTTCTACAGTTTTATGCCAAATGCATATGTTTTTGTTTTTGTTTTTTTTTCTGTTAAATGAGTGAAACTGAGAAGATACAATTATTGTTTCTCTACGGGAAAGGCAGTGTACTTGAAATCAATTCTGCAAGCAGCTTTCCTGGGCATGATTCCCATCTCACTTGATAAATGTATGATCTTGGGTGAGTTCCTTAACCTCTCTATACCTCAGTATTCTCATCTGTAAAAGTGGTTGATAATAGTACCCAACCATGGAATTATGGGGAGAGTCAGTTCAGATGTGAAATGCCTAGCCCTGGCCTGTCAGGTAAATGCTGTGCAAGTAGCTCTTATTACTTATTATGATTATAGCAATGAGAATGGTGATTATACTAGTAGTTTTCTCTTCCATTCTCAAACTTGGCATTCTAGCTTTTAATTGGAATGGACTTCTTTTTTTAAAAAAAAACTTTTTTTTTTAACTTTTTCTCTAATGTTTATTTATTTTGGAGAGAGAGAGTGTGAGCAGGGGAGGGGCAGAGAGAGAGAGGGAGGCACAGAATCTGAAAGGTTCCAGGCTCTGAGCTGCCAACACAGAGCCCAACCCAGGGTTTGTACTCATGAACTGCAAGATCATGACCTGAGAGATAGTCGGACGTTTAACTAACTGAAGCACTCAGGCACCCCTGGAATGGATTGCTTTTAATTGGAACAGAGGAAATATCACAGAAATTACAAGTAAAAGCCTATACTAAATTCTTGGATGTAAATGTCCAGTGTACCTTTAAAGGCTGAACTCTATCAGAGAAGTCTTTTTTTTTTTTTTTTTTTTTTTTNCAGATCATGTGAAAGGATTATACCAAGACTTGAAAAAAAGTTCAATTTGATTATAAGAGATATTGAGCCACAGAGAGACACAGGGTAATTTCTATCTTTTCCCCTGTATTTCCAAATATTTCAGTATAAAGATACATCTTACCTGTGTAAAGATGAGACATATTTTTTTTTTTTTTTACAAATAGTTTATTGTCAAATTAGTTTCTACATAACACTCAGTGCTCATCCCCAAAGTGCCCTCCTTCATGCCCATCCCCCCCTCCCCCCCACATCCATCAGTCCTCAGTTTTTGTCAGCATTCAAGAGTCTCTCATGGTTTGCCTCAGAGAAGTCTTAAATTGGTTGATGACTACTGAGAATTACTTAGTGCTGTTTTAGAGCTAATTCAAGTGTCCTTCTCAAACCAACCCCTTCACCCTCCAGCCTCCTTTTTCTCCCTACAAATGTGCCAAGCACCCAGGACCCCTCAATACTATTGCTAACTTGGGAATAGAAGTATGGAAGGCTAGAGCTTCACAGCAGACATTTCATTGCTGCCAGGCCAGGGATGTATTTACCCAGTCTACTAGCTATCAGAAGTTTAAAATGCTCAACAAGGCCTAGTAATTTATCACTCATGAATTCTAATTGACATGGCTGAATGGGATAGAAGTAGCATGGCTCAAATTCAAAAGTCATTTCTAGTATTTTCCTCTATTATTAAATAGTAATAATCAATTAAAAACTCACTTGAAAGACTGCCATCCAGTCCCAACAGTGAGCCAAGGAGCAGAGCCTCTTCTGTAATATGGAGCAACGCAAAAGAATATGCTGACAGGGTTCATCTAACAATAGAATCCACTGAATGGACCCTTAGCAATCAATGATTTAAGACGCACTGCTTGACTACTATATTTGCTGGTGAATAATACACACTAGCATCCCATTAACAACATTTCCTTGGGAGACATATAAAATTTCATCTTAGTGTAGGTGATTATATTTGAGAGTTGTGCTGCTGTTTTCATTTCTAGGAGTGTACTTCTGGGTACCTTTCTATTTAGACTTTGACTTTAGCTTAAATCAACCTGATAGCAAATCATTTGAGAATGAATCCAGTAAAGATTATAAATGCTGTAAAGGAAGTGATATAAGATGATGTGAACTTCTGCTGTTAAGAGCTTGATCTTTCACCCATACTATGGGCACCCTGTGGTCAGGGGAATGCTGGAGACTTGCTTTGGTAGATGATGAGTCTGTCTCATCATGGTAGCATATAGATATGACAAAAAGACATCAGAGATCTATGGAAAGTAGAAATGGAAGCTTTGGGGTGCCTGGCTGGCTCAGTCAGTAGAGCATACGACTCTTGATCTCAAGGTTGTGCTTCGAGCTCCATATTGAGTATAGATATTACTTTAAAATTAAAAAAAAAAGAAATAGAAATTTTGCCACTCTGCATATTTGGACACAGGAACTAATAGACTGGAAAGTGGGAACATGTGACCAAGAGAGTGAGGGAGACTATCTTACCACCCACCACCCACCGCTTTCATCTCAGTTGACTTTGTTCTTTTCCTGACACTTCCTGTTCAGACCTTCTTCTGCAGTTAAAAAAAAAAAAAAGGCACTCTGAAAAAATAGCTGACTGCTCCTACATGTGTGAGAAGAAAACTGAAATATGTTATAATTTTCTAAGAAATTCATGCTAATTATTTAAAAAATAACCCAGTAAATGTTAATGATCTTGGATATATAGAATTATTAAAGACACAAAAGGGTCAGTTGAATTATTGAGCTAAGCTTTATTACATTTATGAGCTTTTTAAGATTTTTGAACATGTCCAAAGTATTACTGTATATTGGTCATAAACCTAAAGGTTGTATTGTTTATTGTATCGTATTGTATTTAGAAGAAAAAGAACATGTAAGTCATAAAATTAGTACATGTCCAAACATTCTTAAATACAACTGAATAACCTTAAAATCTGGCTGGATGTTTTTATAACATGTTTTTAAACATTAAGTAGGATGTAAGTTTCATATAAGGGACAAAAGCCATCCATTTCAGAATATCACAACTAAGGAAAAACAACTACTCAATATCAAATAAATGGCTTATTTCCCATTGGTGCTGTTCATACCATTTGGGGAAGTTCTATGGAAATGGGCAATAAATGTCTGAGAAATTTTGGAGACAGTAGTTCTACCAGTGCACCAATACTTTTGTACATTTATAACTTTTTGTAAAGCAGCAATGCTGAATGAGGTAATGAATGGATCTAATTTTTTTTCACCTGATTCAGATCTTGTATTTAACCAGAAGTTTTCCCTTGGCCTATGGAGGAGAGAATTAGCTGAAGACTTGACTAGACTGAGGACTGTTGATAAAGAAGCAGACAGAATCTCTCAGGAAATGAAAATGCTCCATCACTGGAGGATTTGCTAATAAGTTGTGCTGTATGAAATAGCACTGTCAATAACTTTATGAGAGACCCATTCCTTGCATCGCTCACTGGGTATACACTGCATCCAGTCTGTCCTTGCCTGTTCAGTGGAGAATCTGAAATACCTGGCCTATAAGAAGTTATCACTGTGTATTAGAGCAGGACTGTAGCAACTACAGGATGTTATATCCCTCTCTCATCGCTGCACTGTTCATTGTGGAATCTTCTTGTTTGCAGAGAAAGCGTGAAATATCGGCACTGAGCCATTGGAAGATTCTGGACAACGGAAGCCATCTTGAAGCTTAAGAGGACCCCCTCAAATTTTCCTCTGGGTGGTTATTAAAACCAAGAGATGGCGAAATATTAAAATTCTCTGCTATTTATAATTTCCCCAGTGTCTTCATGCAAAACCATAAGACCATTTTCTTACAGTTTTTTCCCCAAAGAGGATATTTTTCTCTGCTACTCAATGTACTATTAATCTCAAAACAAAACAAAAAAATACTGTATTTTATTTTTGTGACACATTCATGGTTTTCATATGACTGACACAAACTAACCATATAGCTAAGGTTTGCAATAAAGTTTATAATGTCCATGGCATTTTACACTTACTATTCTATCAGTGGTGTCTAACCTAAGAAATAACTTCCTATAAAAGTTCACTGTATTAATTGAGAATTATTAAGCTAAAAATCTCTTCCTAACACTTCAGATCCAAAAGTCTTATCCATATATTTTCTAGCAATGAGCAAATTGTGATCTCCCCCAACTTTTAGTTTTATTAAAACTTTATTTGGGGGATACTTCGAAGATCACAGCAAAGCTGAGGAGAAGGTACAGAGATTTTCCATTTACTCTCTATCTCTCTCAATATCAACATCCCCCACCAGTGGTACATCCATTATAACTGATGAACCTACAGTGACATATCATAATCACCCGAAGTCCATAGTTTATATTATGGTTCATTCTTGGTGTTATACATCCTATGTGTTTGGATATACGGATAGTGACATATATCCACCACTATATTATCTTCTGGGCTCTTCCCTGCCCACCAATGGCAACCATTTGTCTCTCTAGTTTTACCTTTTCCAGAATGTCATATTACTGAAATCATCAATATATATATTCTCAGATTGACTTCTTTTACTTAATAATAAGCATTTATATTTCTTCTTTCTTCCATATCTTTGCATGGCTTAATAGTTCATTTCATTGTAGTACTGAATAATATTCTATTGTCTGGATGTACCACAATTTATCCATTTACCTACTGAAGGAAATCTTGGTTGCATCCAAGTTTTAGTAATTATGAAGAAAGCTGCTATACAGATTTGTATCCAAGTTTTTGAATAGACATAAGTTTTCCACTCCTTTGGGTAAATACCAAGGAACGCAACTGCTGGATGAGATGAAGAGATGTTTAGTTTTACAAGATACTTGCAGAATGTGTTTCGAAGTGGCTTTACCATCAACCATAAATGTAAATTCCTGTTGTCCTACATCCTCACCAGCATCTGGTGCTGTTAGTGTTCCAGAATTTGGCTATACTAAGAGGTGTATAGTGGTATTTCATTGTTGTTTTAATTTACATTTTGCTGATGATATATGATAAGGAGAACCTTTTAATATGCTTCTCTGCCACCTATATATAATATTTAGCAAAGTGTCTGTTGAGGTCTTTGGCCCATTTTTTAATTGGGTTATTTGTTACCTTATTGTTGAGTTTTAAGAGTTCTGTGTATATTTTGGATATCAATCCTTTGTTATATGCGTCTTTTTGAAAATATTTCCTCCAGGTCTGTGGCTTGTGTTCCCTTTCTCTGGTCACTTGTCTTCCACAGAGCAGAAGTTTTAATATTAGTAAAGTCAGCTTATCAATTACCAGAATACCTATCACTGTCAGAATACCCATCACAGAATTATTTCTGAAAGTGGTTATTCCTAATTTCTTCTGGGAAATTTTATTGTAGAAAAACTACTTTCACAAAGAACAATAAAATGTCTAGATGATGATGATGATAATAACTTATGGTTACTGAGAACATACTATATTTTTTAAGATCGTCCTCTTTCAGAGGGTAATCACTATGCCATGTAATTTATGTAAATTATCTAAGTAAAATGTCACCACATTTTACCACTCTATTTCACCACTCTATTATAGCATAAGAGTTAGCTATAATAAAAATTATTATCCTTTTATAGTAGGTGAATCACAAAGAGCTTTTGTATTTGGATCAATAGCATACATTCAGTAAATAGCAGAACAGAGATTCCAAACCTGGTAGTCTGATTCAAAACCAACACTGAAATTTGTTCACTGCACTACTTTGATCACATAACTTTAATTTCTCATTGTGAAACAAAACCACTTATAAAAATGAAAATAAACAGACCTTGCTTATTTGAGGTAGAAGACGCTCAATCATCAATTTGTTCTATTTCCTTATTTTACGATGGGAAAATTAGAGATCAAAGAAATAAAAGGTTTGCTCAGCATCTAATGATGATTTGAGGATTCTGTTGCTTGATTTTTTCACCCAGAACTTATTTACCCAGAAAGTATCAAGTATTATTTTTCTTTTTCTAAATTTTTTAAATGTTTTATTTATTTCTGAGAGAGAGAGACAGAGAGAGAGAGAGACAGAGAAGGAGAGAGAGAGAGAGCAGGGGAGTGTCAGAGAGAGAGGGAGATACAGAATCTGAAGTGGGTTCCAGGCTCTGAGCTGGCTGCCAGCACAGAGCTCGATGTGGGGCCCGAACCCACGAACCGTGTGATCATGACCTGAGCCGAAGTTGGACGCTTAACTGACTGAGCCACCCAGGCACTCCTCAAGTATTATTTTTCTTAAGTCTGCTAATTCCTCAAGCAAATATATTTCTCTTAGCTCACTAGTTAATTTACCAAAGGACCATAACTGAAAATAATTTCAATTCTTAACTGAAAATACTTTTTCATTAGCTTCTGCTTAAACTAATAGATGTGTGGAAAACAATTACCTGTAAATAAGGAATAACTTTGCAAAGGGACTGTCCAAAGAACCAGGTCTCGGTGATATCCACAACCAATGTGGCTGGAAGGCAGGTAATGGTCACGAGCACATCAGCCAGAGAAAGGTTGACTATGAAGTAGTTGGTTACCGTCCTCATGTGGTGGTTTTTCCACACTGCCACACAAACTAATTTGGGGAAAATAAAAAGAATAGTTACCATTAAGAACTAAATACTTGTGTCCCCACAAAATTCCCATGTTGAAATCCTAACACCTAGTATGATGGTATTAGAAAATGGGCCTTTAGGAGATAAATAGATCATGGTGGCAGAGCCCTCAATAATGGGATTAGTGCCCATAACAAGGGGCCCCAGAGAGATTCCTTGCCCCTACCACCATATGAGGACACAGTGAAAAAGCTCTGAACCAGGAAATTGGCCTTCACCAGATGCTGAAGCTGGTACAGCTTTGATCTTGGACTTCTCAGATTTCAGAACTGTGAGAAATAAATGTATGTGGTTTATAAGCCACATAGTTTATGGTATTCTGTTATAGCAGCCCCCCCAAAAACTAAGACAGTAACAATACAAGGAAAATAGATACTGATGAGGAAATACTGCCAACCTAATTAATACTCCTGTAAGGTCCACAAATAAACATAGAAAAGGGAAGGTGATTTAAGGCTGTACTGTTTTCACTGAATCAGTCAACTTGTGTGAATTCTGAATCCATACTTAAAATCAGTTCATTTATGTCTCAGTGGATCGTAAGGCTGCATTCATTTTTACTTGACTTTGAATCATGATTCCCAGAAGTTAAAGAACAATCTTTGATTCTTCTTTCTATTCCCTTAGTGCTCAGCATGTAGTAGAGACTCAAGACATATTTACTGAAGTGAGATGAATTAGGAGCTAGCTATTTTCAATGACCTATAGTGTTTGCTTCAGCCATGACGTTTATCCTATCTGCTCCCAATCTCTGCATTTAGAACTTTTAATAGATGAAGAGGTTTAAAAGACAAAAGCCAACAATTACTCAGCCCCTATTATTGGCAAACACTGAGCTATATGGTTCATATATATATTTAGGTCGTTTAATCTTGACAATCCCAAGGGAAGACATTGTTACCATCATTTTTTACATGAAGTAATTGAGATACAGGGAATTTGTGGAGGTTGGCTAGGGACAAATGGATCATAAAGCACAGAACTACAGCTGCAACCGGGATTCAACACCAAGTGAGGAACTGGTCTTTTCACCATTCCTTTTTCTTTACTTGTAAAAATGAAGGAATTATAACAAAGTACATATAAACTCTAGAGACTCAATCCTCTTTCCTCGCTATTACTCTTGATGGCTTCTAAACATCGCCTCCAATCAAACACGTTTTTCAATACTCTCAGACTCGAGCCTTCCTCATTGCCTTTCAGTGTATCTTCATTTTTAAAAGCTGTTCTACTTTATTCAGTTGCTCTTTATGAAAAGAACATTCAGTTCCTCAATTCTCTGTCTTCCTCTGTGTGATGTATCCAAGGGTTACATAATCACTGGCTCAAGAATTATATAGGTGTAAGCACTGCTACCCACATCTATTGATGGTTTGCTTCACTAAAAGTAACTGAATTTGCCTTGGGTATCATTAAACTGTCAGAGCTGTCACCTATGCACCTAAATGATGCAGTGATTAGTAACTTTATGTAGTGAATAAATAAAAGCACATTTTGTTAAATTTAAGTCACTAAATAAAGATTTCTTTTGGACAATTATATACCATTTATTAAGAGTTTCACGTGCTGAAAAATGTTTTCATTAGCTCCTGAAGTGAAATTACCCTTCAGTCACCAACAGGTGCTAATTTAATAAAATACCTGAATTCCTGAGGATTGAATTTTGAAAACTCACATCTTTCTCTAATTCCAGTACACTACGATCCAAAAACTAAGATTAACTTTATTAGGGAAAACTGTAACCTTTATCATTTGAAAGGGATATTACTGAATGATTTTTCCCCACACACATACACACACATACACAAAGGCATGCTAGGATTTGACTAAGACATTATCATAACTTGTTCTAAGGAAATTGATATAAGTATCACACCATTAATACTTGGTCAGGAAATGGTCCAAATGGTGCAAGAAAATAAGACTTAAAAAAATACAACCAGTTCTAGATTTAATCCCAATTCTCCATATTTTGGAGGTGAAACAAAGATGGAAAGACAGTACTGATGCATTATGACTAGCCAATATGAGAAAAGTATATTTTCAGCCAGTATTTCTATACTATTTACTATATATCATGACCTATTCTAAGCAATGTAAATTATAAACTAGTTTTATTCTCATAACAACACTATACATGATTACTATTTCTTTCCCTGCTTAACAGATGCGAAACTGCATCTAGGGAGCTTAAAGAAACTACCTAAGGACAAATAGTCTGCAAGTGCTAGAGCTCATATTTAAATTTTACCCCCCATGCTATGCCATCTTAATATATCTTTTTAAAAAAATCTATTTGAGTATAGTTGATACACAATGTTACATTAGCTTCAGGTATACAACTTAGTGATCTGGCAAGATTATACATTATGATATATCATCACAAGTTTGGCTATGCCATCTATCTTGTTACATTACTACTACAATATCACTTTTATTCCTATGCTTCTACTTTTATCCCTATGACCTACTCATTCCATAACTGGAGGCCTGTTATATCTGATAAGGGGTTAATAATAATATCCAGTATATATAAAGAATGCATACAACTCAACACTGAAACAATAAATAATCTGATTAAAAAATGGGCAGAAGATCTGAATAGATATTTTTCCAAAGAAGACATACAAATGGCCAAAAGACCCATGAAAAGAGCCTCAACAACACTAATTGTCAGGGAAATACAAAGAAAAACTACAATGAGATATTATATTATACCTGTTAGAATGACTAAAATAAAAAATACAAGAGGTAGATGTTGGAAGATGAGAGTGGAGTAGGAGAATCCTAGGCTAACCTCATCCCACAAATACAACTACGTGACTATCAAATCATCCTACATATCTGAAAAATCAACCTAAAGACTGGAACAACAAACTCCATAACTAAAGGTAGGGAATGGGATACATCAAAGAAGATAGGAAGTGCGGAGATGCAGTTTGGGAGAGAAATAGATCATGTTAGTTGTGGTGGGGAGGGAGCCACAGTCATAAAGAAGGGCGAAAGACAGACTAGCACATAGGGGAGTCATGTGGAAAACAAACCCCCATAGCAACTGGGTTGGAAACCAAGAGAGGCTGGATTTTGTGAGCTTGCAAACAGCAGAGTTTAAAGTCTGAAGTTTTAAAGTTCAGGATGCTTGGCTAGGATAGAGCCAAGAGGACATTGGGGCTGCTCTTAGAGAAGAGCAAGGGCAAATATCCTGTGGACATTCAGCATGGAAACAGCAATCTGAAGAGTGTCTGGGTCACATATTGAGGAAGTCATTCACTCACCTCAGAGCATGTCCCAGAGAAGCAGTGTTTATGGGAAGACCCCACTGGGAACAAAGGAACTGGTCAGTGCCTTTCCCTTATCTGTCCCTCAGCAAAAGTAGAGGGAACCAATGCAGTGTCCACACTCGCCACTTAACTTGCTTCTAACAAGACCTACTTCACTCCAGTGGAACTGCCCCTCCCAATCATGCTTGCCTCAGTCCCAGTACAGTAGTTCCCCTCCCCCAAAAGACTAGCCCAAACACTTGCTCACAGTACAACTCCCAAAGCAGTTTTACAGAGCCTCAATTCCAGATGCCACAATAATAGGTCTCATTTCACAAAAAGAGTAGAACACACCTGGTTAAAACATGCCACATTCAGACCAGGGATCAAACTCTTCCTTCAATGGGCAAAGAAAACCTCTGCAAATGATAGGCCTGAAAGATAAGGCAGCTAGAACAAAATAACAGAGTGCATGCACCACACAATGGAGACACTCCTGGAAGTACCACGCCCTAGGGAATAGGGGACATTACACAGCAGGGCCCTACATGATATTTTTTTCATAAGAGCATTACCTTCAAGAATTGGCGACATAGCTGACTTTTCTAACACAGAGAAAAAGACACAGAGACTTACACAAAATGAGAATACAGAGAAATGTATCCCAAATGAAAGAACAGGACAAGGACACAGCTGGAGATCTTAGCAAAACAGATACAAGTGCCTGATAGAGAACTTAAGGTAATGGTCATAGAATGCTCACTGAACTCAAGAAAAGAGTAGAAGACATGAGTGAGATTTTCAACACAGAAATAAGAAGTAACAAAGCAAAGATAAAGGACTCAATAAACAAAAGGAGAAATATGCTCTATGGAATAAACAGTAGGCTGGAAGAAGAACAACAACAATTTAACGACCCAGAAGAATAATGGAAAGTAATCATGTGAACAAAAGAAAAAAATATGGAAAACAAGAATAGACTTAGAGATCTCGGTGATTTCATCAAATGTATAAACATTCATCTTATAGGAATCTCTAAAAAAGGAGAAAGCAAGGGGCAAATAATGTATTTGAAGAAATAATAGCTAAAAACTTCCCTAATCTGGCAAAGGAATAGATATCCGTATTTGGGAGGTACAGAGAACTCTCATCAAAATCAACAAGAGCAGATCCATGCCAAGACATATGGTAATTAAACTGGCAAAATATAGTCTAAAAAATTTCAAAGCAGCAGGACAAAAAGAAGTCAGTAACTTTCACAAGAAATCCCAGAATGCTAGCAGAGGGTTTTTCAACAGAAACTTTCCAAGTCACAGAGGAGTGGCATAATCTAAAGTAGTTCATGACCAATTAACCAACCCTGCAAGAGATATTAAAGGGGACTCTCTGATTGGAAATGAGAGACCAAGAGTGAAAGTACAAAGGAAGGAAACACAAAGACAGTTAAAATAAAGATTTCTTTAAAAAATCGAAGAACTCACAAAATGAAAGGATGTAAAACATAAAATTATATACCTAAAACATAGGGATAACAAGAGTAAAGAATGTATTTAACTTAAATGACCATCAACTTAATATAGACTGTTCTATGCAGAAGATACAGACCTAAAGGTAACTATATATCAAAAACCACTAATAAACATACATAGAATAAAGAGAAAGAAATCTAAATATATCACTGAAGAAAATCAGAAAACCAT